GATGTCCACGTCCGAGATGAAGCCCCAGCCGAAGCCCAGGAAGGAGAAGAGGCGCTTGCCCGAGGCTGTGCTCAGCGAGACCAGGTCCATCTGCGTGTGCAGCCCCTTGCACAGGATGAAGGTGCAGTTCGTCAGCAGCTTCTTCTTGGCGACGTGATCATTGCTGCGAGGGATGGAGGGGGGTGAGTTTGGGCTGGACCCAGCCCGGGGCCTCTCCTGCTGTCCCAGCATCCACATGCAACCCTCACCCCCGTGTCATGGTTGGGACAGATCCCAGCTGGGTGACAGCGTCCCTCAGGGACAGCCACTGGGGTTTTGCTGGGGGTGGGAAGGATAAACCAGCCCTGGAAAGGGAACTGATTAGGGGCTGTTGGGCCAGGGCAGTCCCGGTCCTCCTGCCATGCCCCAGGGTGGGTGCTTCGGGGCAAAGCTTTGCTAGACTCTGAGCCTGGAGAAGAGAAAGGATATGGGGGAAGCTGGGGACACAAGGATGCAATCCAATGCTCACAGGGACCGGCTGGGGCTGGGCAGCACCAGCCTGCAGGGAAGTGGAGACCCGGGTGGGCACCCCCGTGCTGGGAATCCCAGCACCCGTCCCCGGGGCTGGAGCCATGCTCAGCTTTTCGCTTCCCTCACCCCACCCCACCTCGGTGCCAGCGCAGCCCCGTGTGCTGGCTGGTGAGGTGCTGGGAGTGGGTGCCCCTGTGGGGCTAGGGCTCACCCTGCGTAGTGGTTGATGGAGGCGGCCAGGGCATTCCCAGAGCCCCCAGGCAGGATGCACAGCGGCTTCTTCATGGTTTCCTCCCAGTCCGGCCGCTCCATGAGCCCATTCACCACCTGCAGGGATGGAGGGAGCTCATGGTACTGGGGACCAGACAAGGAACCCAGTGGCCCCCCACACAGCCTGTGGGGGGGAGCGGAGCCCACGATGCCTCCGGCCAGGGCAAGACCGAGGCCATGGCTGCCCCGCTTTGCTCCAAGCCAGGTGCCATCTCTCCTTTGCCATTCCCTGCCTGCCTACAAAGGCACAAGTCTCAAAGCTTGGCCCCTGCACCCCTCTCCTCCCGGCTCTGTGACCATCCTGGCTGGGGGGATGCCCCATGGTGCCCCTCACCTCGTAGAGCAGCCCGTCCCCAGCCATGACCACCAACGTGTCCCACTGTGACAGGTCTTCATCCCGCACCTTCTCATGTGCATGGTGGGGTCTCTCTGTGGGGGAAAGTGGAGAGAATTGAGCATCGCCCTCCGTCCCTCTGCCCTACTTGCTGCCACCCCCCAGATGGTGACCCCAGCTCCGCTGTCCCCAAGGGGGTGCAGGAGGTGAGGCAGTCACCCCTGTTGTGTGCAAGCATGTCCCTTTGCACTCTTTGCTGCCACCACCTGTGACAGCCCACCCATTGCGTTGTCCAAACCAGCCCTGCGGGAGCCAGAGCCACAGTGACACGGGGGTACGAGGCCCTCGGAGGAGCCTGTCCCAGGGCGGCACCACCCAGGTACGATCCTGGGAGGGGAGGAGGAGGAGGTGGGGGAGCCGTTTGCGGACTCACCGGTAATGAAGATGGTGGTGGCGATGTCGGCGTCAGCCAGCATG